TTGAATTTTTGCATCAATCTGGTTTACAAACTTCAGGAACTCTTCCAGTTTATCTCTTTCATGTGAACAAAGTGCGAAGTGATCATGCAGGTACCACATGAGCACTGCCGGCTGTAGCGGTGACATCTTGAAATTCCCTTCCATTTGGTTAATGTATACGTTTGCCAAAAGTGGTGAGAGCGGCGATCCCATGGGAGGTCCACATATTTATTCATAGATGTTCCCGTTGAATGTTAAATAGGTGGTCCTTATTGTCAAGTTGATTAATCTTGTTAACGACTCGCTCCTGATCCGTTGTGATTCCAGGATATCCTCCTCTCGGTACAGGATTTCCACCAGGGCCGTTAATGCATTCTATCCAGAGATATTTGTATACATGAATTCTACATCGAAACTTACCAATAAGTCAGTTTCTTCCAATGTCATGTTTTTGATTTTTTGAGAAAATTCCAATGAATGTTTCACCGTGTTTGATAGCCTCTCATTTAATTTATTGAGTTTTAAACACATAAACTTTGCTGATTTATGTGTTGCTCCATACTTGTTGTTAACTATCAGCCTTAGTGGCTCGCCTTCTTTGTGTATCTTCGGTAATCCGTAGGCTGTTGGTGGTCGTGCATCCTTTCTTATGATTGAATTTATTGTCCATGCCTCAATTTCCCCATACTTATGCATATCTTTCAGTATACCACTTAAGATTCAATTGATCTTCATAGTTGGGTCCTTGTTTAGTATGAATGGGGAAATTGATGCATGGACAAGAAATTCAATCATAAGAAAGAATGCACGACCACCAGCAGCCTCCAGATTACCGAAGATACACAACGCAGGTGATAAACTAAGTCTGATAGTCAACAACAAGTATGGAGCAACACACAAATTGGCAAAGTTTATGGGTTTGAAACTTAAAAAATTAAATGAGAGGCTATCAAACACGATGAAACATTCATTAGAATTTTCTCAAAAAATCAAAAGCAGGGCACTGGAAGAAACGGACTTATTGGTAAGTTTCGATGTGAAATCCATGTATTCATCAAATACACAGCCAAGAATGGTGATTTCATGCTATGACGCTGTCCGTCATGACAGACGACTGCTTGCCAGATATAGCCTTGAGCAGCATTACAGTGGACGGAGGACTTCTTCGCACAAACCACCAGCTACAAATGCTCAAAGATAAGCCTCCTTCAGTTTCCCGTGTCGTCAATGTACTAATCTCTCCCACCCTCCTTCTTGTCTCTTTGGCGAGTAGTAGTGTGGTGCTAAGACTGGCAAGGCTCAATGACGAAGCCGACTACGATACTGGCGAAACGTCTGACAATGTACCAAATCCACAGCCAGACTCTGGAGATTATTATGCATACTATGGATACCAGTCTTTCTACCAATATGACCAAGTTACGAAAACAATGTCAAACAACATTGGAGATTCTTCAAAACCCATTATCTTTTCGGATACGAAATATGAATTGGCCTTAATTCAGAACTCTAAACCATGCTATTCTCACTTGATGACTTAATCATAAAATCATTCTTGAGAATGAAGCAGTCCTAGTACCTAATACGCCCTCATGCGCTCTGTCTAAGCGCTCGAGCAGATCCTAGAAGCAAGATCCGAATCTATTTATAAGGATATGCATCTCCGTTGGTCGCTTAGGCTGATTTATGGCTGATAATTGAATTTACCACAATTCAGTGTTTAGAGGTAACATGATGCCCTTTACTTTCAAACGGCTTTATCGCCCAAGTCACAGGGCAGATGTGAGTTTCCATACAAGCGAAAAGCACATTTATAGTGGGGCAGTCGTCTTTAAGGCAAACTTATATTTACCATAATAACCAACTAAATTACTATATTCAAAGGGAATAGGCCTCGAAAGCATCGGTACATCTGTCGGTAAGAACTATCGGTATGAATTTAGATGATGCTATTTTTAGGATCCACTGATAATTTGTAAGCTCACACAATGAGAATATACTTACCAGTAGTTTCGACAGTCTTATGCAAATAATTCTAGTCTGATTTTGGTTCATGAGATGGCCTCTGCCAAGTCGAAAATCATCCAAAGCATAAATATCAACTACTAGTTCTTAGTCCCAATGAGTGCAAGGGTAAGTTTCGCCCTTCATAGAAGCGTGTCTCCCTTAAATTATACTTTTTTAATGTGCTACTTTGATAGAGTAGAGATGTGATTTTTTTTAGTTGCTAACGTGTAGTGACCAAACTACAACCAGAATAGTTGGCATCGGGATCAATATAAAAATAGTAAATTACTAAAAATTTGATTGTGTCGCCTGGCTTAGAGGCCTAATAAAAAGATTGCTAGAGCAACCCCACCGGGAGACAACTGTAGTTTCATTCAGAATCAGTAGGTGTTGAGTCTACTAGTAAG